AAGAGATCGAGACCATCCTGGTCAACATGGTGAAACCCCGTCTCTACTAAAAATACAAAAAATTAGCTGGGCATGGTGGCGTGTGCCTGTAGTCCCGGCTACTCAGGAGGCTGAGGCAGGAGAATTGCCTGAACCCAGGCGGAGGTTGTGGTGAGCCGAGATCGTGCCATTGCACTCCAGCCTGGGTAACAAGAGCGAGACTCCGTCTCAAAAAAAAAAAGAATTCACATACCATAAAATTCACTCTTTCAGAGTGCACAGTTCATTGATTTTTAGCATATTCAGATTTCTACAAAAATCATTACTATTTAATTTCAAAACATTTTCATCACCCCGTAAAGAAATCCCACACGTAGCAGTAGTTACTCCTCATTTGTCACTCCCCTGTGCCCCTGGCAACTACTTATCTCCTTTCTGTTGCTCTAGATTTACCTTTCTGGACTTTTCTTTTTTACTTTATTTTATTTTATTTTATTTATTTTTAGACGAAGTTTTGTTGTTGCCCAGACTAGAGTGCAATGGTGGATCTTGGCTCACCGCAACCTCTGCCTCCCGGGTTCAAGCAATTCTCCTGCCTTAGCCTCCTGAGTAGCTGGGATTACAGGCATGCACCACCTCGCCCAGCTAATTTTGTATTTTTAGTAGAGACGGGGTTTCTCCACATTAGTCAGGCTGGTCTAGAGCTCCTGACCTCAGATAATCCGCCCACCTTGGCCTCCCAAAGTGCTGGGATTACAGACATGAGCCACTACGCCCAGCCGGGTTTCTGGACGTTTCATATAATATGTGGCCTTTTTCTAGCTTCATTCACTTATTGTTTCCAAGGTTCATTCTGTGTTGTTTTATATATCAACATTTCATTCCTTTTTATGACCAAGTAATATCCCATTGTATAGGTAATACCACAGTTGATAGTACAAACATGGTTTTGCTAAAGCTCTACTGCATGAGTGATGGGAAATTTAAAGCTACAGAATGTGAAAATAAGGTGATTTAGATTGGATGTAACATCACAAATACTTTATATTTAGAGCTTGAGATGATTAAAAATTGTGTTTAACTAGCTTTTCCCTTTTCCAAAATAACATAAAATGTGAGACTGTAGTCACTTTTTAACCTGTGTAAAGTCTCAAACATATTTGTGATACTTTACTTTTGGAAAAATAAAGTATTGTTTTTCTTATGTATGGTTAGCTGCATCTGTTTATCCATTTTAGATCCATTTTGTATAAAATATTTCATTGTTCTAGGACAATGGGTTTAATCCCTACTTCATATTCTAATAACTTTTCTTTTAAAGTTTGAAATAAGGAATCATCATTTTCAGTGAAAAACTGCCTTTGTGCTTAAATTACTTTTTTTTTGACAGGAATATTTCACTGTGTATTAAATGACATTATTGGATTACATTATAAAATGCCAAACAGTTAAGAGACAGAATTTTATTTTCTTTATACTTTGAGGTTTGGTATTCATGAATGCATGAAAGCACCATTTCCTTTGAAGATCTACACATAAAACTGTATTTATTTGAATGAGAACATCTAAATAAATCATAGGATTGTCTAAATTTTTTAAAATTATAATTGCAGACACTCTTCTTGATTAAAAATGTTGTCATTTTCTGGTTGGACACGGTGGCTCACGCCTGTAATCCCAGCACTTTGGAAGGCTGAGGTGGGGGGATCACCTGAGGTCAGGAGGTTGAGACTAGCCTAGCCAACTTGGTGAAACCCTGTCTATACTAAAAACACAAAAATTAGTGGGGCATGGTGGTGGGCCCCTGTACTCCCAGCTATTCTGGAGGCTGAGGCAGGAGAATTCGTTGAACCCAGGAGGCAGAGATTGTAATTAGCCGAGATCACATCAGTTGCATTCCAGTGTGGGCGATGAGTGAAACCCCATCTCAAAAAAAACAAAGAATTTTAGTCATTTTCTGAAACTATTTAGAAATTTCCCAAAACAGATTGTTGGTTCTCTTTGTTGTGAAAGAATATTTATAAAGAAATATATTGATTTCTGAAATCCTTGCTCATGTAAAGAAAAGAAATAATAAATGGGCTTTTAAAAAAATTTAGTAATTTTATAAGAAAACTATTTTTGAACTATGGACATTAATATGAATAAGTTGGCCAGGGACAGTGGCTCACGCCTGTAACCCCAGGACTTTGGGAGGCCAAGGCAGGCGGATCACCTGAGGTCAGGAGTTTGAGACCAGCCTAGCCAACATGTCGAAACCCTGTCTCTACTGAAAATACAAAAATTAGCAGGTCATGGTGGCATGCACCTGTAATCCCAGCTACTCAGGAGGCTGAGGCAGGAGAATCGCTTGAACCTGGGAGGCGGAGGTTGCAGTCGGCCAAGATTGCGCCATTGCACTCCAGCCTGGGTAACAGAGCAACTCCGTCTCAAAAAAAATTAATAAATAAAATAAGCTAAAAGATTGTGGAATCTTCATTTCTAAAGAATGTAAATCATTGATGAATGTTATAAAATCTAATTAAAGTGGTGTGAATTTTACTTTTCTCTGCTATTAGAAAAGATCTCTAGAATTTAAAATGAGGTGTGCTGATACTTGAAATGACAATCCCCACTGCATGCTACTTCCTCTTCCTGTCAGAAGGAATGGGTGGGAATCTTCATGAGAGATAATGGTAAATCAGATTTCACTGAGATCAAATAAGTTGTTTTTAGGTTTTGTGAGGGGTTGAGCAGAGGTCGTCATAGTCACTTGTTTGATTTGGTGCCATTGGTGGAGTTTTAAATGCACAGCGTGGAAGGGAATGAGCACTTATCAGAACAGAAGGAAATGTGTGGTTAAACGGTTTCAGCTGCAACTGTAGACTATTTCCCTTGGTCCTAATAGGAGGAGAAATGGAACCTGTTGTATTTTGGTTATTTTCCAATATAAGTAGAAACTGGTTCAGTGTGGCCTATTGCAGCCTTTAGCAGAAATGATTGGGTTCAGTAGTGAAGGGGAATGACACAAATATGTACTAGGAAGGCATAATTTTTTTTTTTTTTTTTTTTTTTAGACAGAGTCTTCCTCTGTCTCCTAGGCTAGAGTGCAGTGGTACAACCTTAGCTCACTGCAACCTCTGCCTCCCAGGTTCAAGCGATTTTCCTGCCTCAGCCTCCCAAGTAGCTGAGACTATAGGCATGCACCCCAACGCCCAGCTAAGTTTTGTATTTTTAGTAGAGACAGAGTTTCACCATGTTGGCCAGACTGGTCTTGAACTCCTGACCTCCTGCCTTGGCCTCCCAAAGGGCTTGGATTACAGATATGAGCCCAATCAGAAGACATAAATTCTGTGAGTACTATTTTAAAGGTATCTGGGTAATTTTTGTAGCATGTTTATAATTGACTGGAAGTCAGTAATTGTTATTAAACATCTCTAAAAACAAAAGAATCTAAGACTCTGAAGAGACTACTGAAATGAGTTTAAAAAAAAATTGTTTCCAGCTTTTCCCTCAAAATGAGAAACTGTTTTACTAATTTTTATGTAATTATATAGGTGATAAATAATGCCAGATTTTAGCCCACAAAGCACTGGATTTCCCAAAGGAAATATATTTGATGCAGGTAAATGAAAAGCCTTGTTAACAAAGATGTATTTGATAATCTGCAGTTTTGAAAACTCACTGAAGAATTCCCGCTTCCTCTGCATTTAAAAAATCTTGTTCAAGCCAGTAAATATTAACCAATGCAGGTTCATTCAGAAGCTCATGTTTAAACGAAGTAGAAAAAACCTAAAATTATGGGTTGGTTGGTTTTTGTGATGGAGTCTAGCTCCGTTACCCAGGCTGGAGTGCACTGGTGCAATCTTGGCTCACTAAAACCTCCGCCTCCCGGGTTTAAGCAATTCTCCTGCCTCAGCCTCCGGAGTAGCTTGGATTACAGGCGCCTGCCAGCACGCCCAGCTAATTTTTGTGTTTTTAGTAGAGACAGGGTTTCACTGTGTTGGCCAGGCTGGTCTTGAACTCCTGACCTCGTGATCTGCCTGCCTCAGCCTCCCAAAGTACTGGGATTACAGGCGTGAGCCACTGCACCCAGCCCTAAAATTATGTTTTTAAAAGTAGCTATTAGGTTAGTGTGGTATTAGGAGTGGGAAGATTGTAGGAACTGTAATAAATTTACATTATTTATCTGGATCACAGTAACATATTCATCTTAGGGTAATTAGCACCATCCTTTCTGGGTAGATAATTACTCTTGGAAACAATTTTATTTTAAGCCAATATGAGAGTTAATGTAGCGATCAAAAATGATCTAAATTTTGGTATGATGTATACCTAAAGCATTTTTTGTTCTAGAGTTATTTACTTGAAAAAGATTGGTGAAGAAATTGGGTATTTTTTTCCAGAAGAAAAGTTAATGCAAGTGTAAAACCTCAATTAATTCCACAGAGTAAGGATGTAGGAATTTTTTTTCTTTTTTTTTTTTTTAAGATTAATCACACTCTGTCACCCAGGCCGGAGTGCAGTGGTACTATCTCTGCTCACTGCAACCTCTGCCTCCCGAGTTCAAGTGGTTGTCTTCCCTCAGCCTCTCGAGTAGCTGGGATTGTAGCAGTGTGCCACCATGCCCAGCTAATTTTTGTATTTTCAGTAGAGATGGGGTTTTGCCATGTTGGCCAGGCTGGTCTCGAACTCCTGACTGAGCTCAGGTGATCCGCCTGCCTTGGCCTCCCAAAGTGCTGAGATTACAGGCGTGAGCTACTGCACCCAGCCAGAATATAAAAGTTTTTTCTTTTTTTCTTTCTTTCTTTCTTTTTTTTTTTTTGAGATGGAGTTTTACTCTTGTTACCCAGGCTGGAGTGCAATGGCACGATCTTGCTCATCACAGCCTCCGCCTCCTAGGTTCAAGCGATTCTCCTGCCTCAGCCTTCTGAGTAGCTGGGATTATATACATGTGCCACCATGCCCGGCTAATTTTGAATTTTTAGTAGAGATGGAGTTTCTCCATGTTGGTCAGGCTGGTCTAGAACTCCTGACCTTAGGTGAGCCACTGTGCCTGGCCGGATGTAGGAGTTTTCTGATAAAGCTGAAGGTTCACCAGATGAGAGATAACTTTTGGTTTCAGCAGTCTTGAAGATCTTTTTAAAATTTATTGATACTTTTTAAAACCTCAGTGCATAAAGTATAGTGAACATATTTAATTTGTCAGTGACGTGAAATGTTACAATATCCCAGGATATTCATTTTCATTATTTCTCTAATGTATAAGCAGATGTACTTGTTGGATGTGATATAATAGGAAGGCTAGCTAATTTTCTCATCTAAAGGTATTATGTGTAAGGAATAAATATATTTCATTTATTAAGAATTCAAGATGCTTGGTTAAGTTTATTACTTTTTTTACTTTTTAGAGGTGAGGTTTCTTTATGTGACCCAGGCAGGTCTTAAACTCCTGGCCTCAGGTGATCCGCACAGTTTGGCCTCCAAAGTACTGGGATAACAGGCATGAGCCACTGGTGCCTGGCCTTATTGTCTGACTTGATTTTGTTATAGTATTTAAGAATTTCAACAGGGAGTTGAAATAAGTGGATTTTAGGTTAACTTACTAGTTTCTAGACAAATGATTCATACTACATATAGTCAAGCCCTGTGACCTTAAAACTTTTCTATATTTAAAAGACTGATTCAGCTTACTGTTGCAGATTGGGAAAAGTCAAAAATAAATAAATAGAAGACTGTGAAATAGCTTGAATTAAATTCCATAAATCCCATTTAAAGGATAACAGTGGTTTGCCCTGTATTATTTATGGACACCTAAAGATAACCACATACTACTCAATGTGGTATAATAGTAAATATTACATTAGTTAAGGTTTTTTGGTTAAAAGCAGTAGAAGTCAACTCTGGTTAACAAGACAGAAAAAGAAAAAAAGATTAGTTATCAGGAAATGATGAGATAGCCTGTAAAACTGAAGGGAAGTGTCAAGAGCCTGACCCTGCGTGGCTCCAGGAACCCACGTTGAGGGAAGCAGTGCTGCATGCTCTCTTCAGAGGGTGGTGGCTTCCAGTTGTTTTTCATCTTTCTACCCAACATTCAAAAATCAAAGTGTCTGGCTGGATGTGGTAGCTCACATCTATAATCCTAGCACTTTTGGAGGCCAAGGTGGGCTGATTGCCTTAATTAAGGAGTTCGAGACTATCCTGGGCAACATGGTGAAACCTCTTCTCTACTGAAAATAGAAACAAAACAAAAAATTAGCAAGGTGTGGTGGTGAGCACCTGTAATCCCAGCCACTCGGGAGTCCAAGGCAGGAGAATTGCTTGAACCTGGGAGGCAGAGGTTGCAGTGAGCTGAGATCATGCCACTGCACTCCAGTTTGGGCAACACAGACACCATCTCAGTCAGTCAGTCAATAAAGACTGTGGTCACAAGATACGGTTTATGCATATACTTTACTGTGATTTTTAATTTTATCATTTTATTCATATTTACAGAGTTTATATAAATAAGTTTAATCTTTTTTTTTTCATGTGTATGATGGTTTTCAATTGCTTGTATCGTTCGTTTCTCTGTCTTAGGTATATTTGAAGGCTCCCATGATTCTGAATGGAGTCTGTGTTATCTGGAAAGGCTGGATTGATCTCCAGAGACTGGATGGTATGGGCTGTCTGGAGTTTGATGAGGAGCGAGCCCAGGTAGGGTGACTTCAGGCTATATTGAGCATGGTCCCTTTATTTAGTCCCTAATTTTTCCTTTGTCTGGGTGCCTATTTTACCCAGTCTTTAAGAGTAAGTATAGAAAGTATTATGTTCAAGCAGTATTGAGGAATCCTGAAAACGTTGAAACTCGAATTCTGATCCTGATTTTGGGAAAGTTTTTTCTTCAGCAGTTCTAAATTTCATTGGATTATTTGTATCTGCTCAGTGGGTGCTCCAAAGTCCAATAAGTAGTTCTTTAAAATATTTGTTCTTCATATTTGGAACATTATGAATAGGGGAAAAAATACAGTTCAAAATAAAATGTAGGAGCTGCACTTTTGTAATGCTTGAGTGAGGAGCTCAACAAGTCCTCTCCCCAGAAAGCAATGATAAAACTTGACAAAAATTGTTTTTTTCTTTTAAAAAAAGAGAGAAGCTGGACATGGTGGCTAGCACCTGTAATCCCAGCACTTTGGGAGGCCGAGGCAGATGGATCACCTGAGACTTGAAGTCAGGATTTTGAGACCAGCCTGGACAACACGGTGAAACCCCATTTCTACTAAAAATATAAAAATCAGCCAGGCGTGGTGGTGCACACCTGTAATCCCAGCTACTCGGGAGGCTGAGGCACGAGAATTGATCGAACCCGGGAGGTGGGGATTGCGCAGAGCCGAGATTGTACCACTGCTCTCACTGCTCCCCAGCCTGAGCGGCAGAACAAGACTCTGTCTCAACCCTAACAACAACAAACCGCACCCATTTAAGTCCTCATGGAAGCTATTGAATCTCAGTTAAGATCAGTGACAGTCTATGGCATTTTAGTCAAGAGCTGCTCTCTTTCCCCAGCTCTGTGGTCCCTTGGATTCTTCCCTGGGCAGTCAGGGTAAGCCATGAGCACTGGTAGATCTGTTGTCCTTTCAGGAGACAGCTGACTTTATTAAAAGCTTGTTGAGTGAGGAACTCATAAAAAAAAAAAAAAAAAAAAAAAACAGTTTTTAAAGAGACAGGGTCAACCTCTGTTACCCAGGCTTGAATACAGTGGTACAATCATAGCTCACTGAAGCCTCAAACTCCTGGGCTCAAGTGATCCTCCTATCTCAGTCTCCCAAAGTGCCGGGATTACAGGTGTGAGCCACAATGCCTGACCTGCTTTTACAGTTTCTTGTGGTGTTTTTAACATGTCATCCCACAACCTTTTCCCAGAAAAAAATCCATGCCCAGGCATATTGTTTAAAATGATAGAGGTCTGATTGGCAAACAATCTGGCAAAGCTAATGTTGCAGAAAACAACAAAGTGGCATACCAGCCAGAAATTTATCAAGATTAAGGGAAAGAGATAGGTAAAGTAGACCCTACTAAGATTACACTCATTTCATCCAGAAAGCTGTGTGCATGTACAAGGCTACACCTGCTCTTAGGAGAACACAGAAGGCCCTTGCAGGCTACTTTTCCCTGGGTGAACACAAGGTAGACTGGTAAACTCCCTGACCTTTGAAAGCATTTCCTCAAGCCACACATAAGTCCAGTGGCAAAAGATGGAAGTCTGCTGACTCAAGGTGTTTGGGCAAAACCCCTGACCAGTCATTGGCTGACAGCTGAACTATGCTGACCCAGAGACAACCTCCCAGAAAGCAAGATTAAAAAGACAACTGTGCGCAGTGGCTGATGCCTATAATCCCAGGCATTTTGGGAGGCCAAGGTGGGAGGATCACACGAGCCCAAGAGTTAAAGACCAGCCTGGGCAACATGGTGAGACCTCATCTCCGCAAAAAAAATTTAAAAATTAACCAGGTGTGATGGCATGTGCCTATAATCCTAGCTACTTGGGAGGCTGATCTGGGAGGATCACTTGAGTCTAGGAGTTCAAGACTACAGTGAACTGCAATCATGCCAGTGCACTGCAGCCTGGGCAACAAAGTGAGATTCTTTCTCTAAAAAGAAAAAGAGCTGAGCAGTCACGTTGGAGGCTCTACACTGCTGAGGAAAACAGACTCCACAGAATTTTTGGCTATTATTCCTTCAAGTAAAAAAGTTCACAGACTAAATAGCAGATAAGAGCTGACATATGAACAAGAAAATGAACAGTGTCTTGGGGACCTGTGGGACGCGAGCACATATGATCAAAGTTTCAGGAGAGGAAAAAAGGCAGAAGATATATTTTAAGAAATAAGAGCCAGGCCAGACGCAGTGGCTCACACGTGTAATCCCAGCACTTTGGGAGGCCGAGGTGGGTGGATCACAAGGTCAAGAGTTCAAGAGCAGCCTGGCCAATATGGTAAAACCCGTCTCTACTAAAAATACAAAAATTTGCCAGGCGTGGTGGCAGGTGCCTATAGTCCCAACTACTCGGGAGGCTGAGGCAGGAGAATTGCTTGAACCCAGGAGGCAGAGGTTGCAGTGAGCTGAGATCACCCCACTGCACTCAAGCCTGGGCGACAGAGCGAGACTCCATAAAAAAAAAAAAAAAAAAAAAAAAAAGAGCCAGAACTCTCACATTTGATCAAAAATGTTAATCTGCATTATCCAAGAAGCCCAATGGACAATAAGTAAGATAAACACAAAGAAATCCACACCTAGACACATTATAAACTGTTAAAAGACAAAAAATCATGAAAGCGGCAGGAAAGAGGGGTTACCACACCCAAAGGAACCACAGTAAGATTAACGGCTAGTCTCTTGAAATCATGGAGGCCAGAAGGTTGTGGGATGACACGTTAGAAACACCAAAAGAAACTGTAAAAGCAGGTCAGGCATCGTGGCTCACACCTGTAATCCCAGCACTTTGGGAGACTGAGATAGGAGGATCACTTGAGCCCAGGAGTTTGAGGCTACAGTGAGCTATGATTGTACCACTGCATTCAAGCCTGGGTAACAGAGGTTGACCCTGTCTCTTTAAAAAACACAGAATGAGGCTGGGCACAGTGGCTCACGCCTATAATCCCAGCACTTTGGGAGGCTGAGGTGGGCAGATCTTAAGGTCAGCAGTTTGAGACCAGCCTGGCCAATATGGTGAAACTCCCATCTCTACTAAAAATACAGAATTAGCTAGGAGTGGTGGTGCACACCTGTAGTCCCAGCTACTTGGGAGGCAGAGGCAGGAGAATCGCTTGAACCTGAGAGGCAGAGATTGCAGTGAGCCGAGATTGTGCCGCTGCACTCCAACTTGAGCAACAGTGTGAGACTCTGTCTCAAAAAAATAAAAATAAATAAATAAATAAAAATAAAAACAAAGAAAATGTAAAAGCACCTGATTCTTAAAGTTAAAATAATAACAGGAATATAAAGGAGCTCATGTGTCTTCCCATATAGTTCTTTCTATAGGGAAATGTAAGAATTTTCTTTAAAAGGGATTAAAAAATTAAGGCTTTCTATTGAAAAGTTTAAGATTCAAAGTTAAAAAAATTTTTTTTTAACCTTTCAGTGTTATCCAATAAAGTTAAAATTCTTTTTTTTTTTTTTTTGAGACGGAGTTTCGCTCTTATTACCCAGGCTGGAGTGCAATGGCACGATCTCGGCCCACCGCAACCTCCGTCTCCTGGGTTCAGGCAGTTCTCCTGCCTCAGCCCCCTGAGTCGCTGGGATTACAGGCACGCACCACCATGCCCAGCTAATTTTTTTCTGTATTTTTAGTAGAGACGGTGTTTCACCATGTTGACCAGGATGGTCTCGATCTCTTGACCTCGTGATCCACCCGCCTCGGCCTCCCACAGTGCTGGGATTACAGGCTTGAGCCACCGCGCCCGGCCAAGTTAAAATTCTTAAAGAATCCTTGCCCTGGCCCAGACCATCCCAATGGCATATGCCTATAGTCCTAGCTACTTGGGAGGCTGAGGCAGGAGGATCCCTTGATCCCAGGAGTTCCAGGCCAGCCTGGGCAACATAATGAGACCTTCATCTCTAAAAATAAAAATAAAGAATCCATACTTTACCCTGATTTCCACAATGCTAATGAGTTCCCAGTTCTTTCAGAAAAATAATAACCAGCAATCTAGAAGACTATTTTCTATAAGAAGTG